CCCGAGGAGTAAAAGCATGGAAAGCATGGAAGGGCCTTTGCCAGCTAAATGGGAAGTAGCCATGCTTAAGGAAACAGTCTTGATTACAATAAACTGCGCAAGAGAGATTACTATGTTTGCCAGACTCCACTTCTTACCTTCCTTTTTATAATAAAAAAGAGCTCCACATCATCAGCAAATTCGAATCAATGAGATATTCTTTAGTAGGAAAGAAAAAAAAATCCTTGACTTGGTCTTCGTAAGAATTTTCCAATCAGTAATGCTAAAATTCATTCACTTGTAAACTACTCTGCAATTAATGGATATTTTCCACAGATTGTAAATGCTAATTACTTGAATCATTCAGTGCACATCTAACAGCTTTTCTCCGTAGCTCTGAAAAGTCTTGAGAGTTTTTAATGATCCTTTAGTGACAGTCATTTTCCTCTAACAACCAGCATTATAAGTCGCATACACTACCGGCTAAATACTTCAAAGCCACTATAAGTTGTTTTCCATCTAATGCAATATCAATTTTCTCCCCTGCACAACATCGCATTCTTGACTTAATGTAGTTGTTCTAATACAAGACAGCACAACACTGTAAATGTTGTTAGGTTTGGAATCACTTGAATCATATAAAATTGATTTGTAATAACCTGAGATTGTTCAAGCTTAAGCTTCTTCTTTTTCCCCAATCTCGTGAGAAGAGAAACATTTCTTGTATTTTTTATTCTGTTTGGCTCATTTAAAGGTTTATTCCTGCCTTGAGTTACCGGCTCAAAAAGCATGCAAATATTCTCGGATTTTAGCCGAATGAAGGACTCTGAAGTCTTGCCAAAAATATGATCATAGAGTTTGTATTCATGTACCAAACTTCAAATAAATTCATGTTTCATTCCCCAATATCATACTCATAGCCAGCATTTCCAAACCGGTTTTCCATCCTTGCATAGCTACACCACGAAACAGTTCACATACCAAGCTTCCATGAATTGTCATTGCCTTCCCCTAGCTGATGCCGTGCTGCCAGTAGTGAATTAATTAGTGCCCAGGGATATATACCCCATTACCTATAAATATCAAAAATAAATAAATAAAATGATGACGGTGATTCCTATATTAAGTTCATTATTTGTTAAATTAAACCAGGATCAAAACATATTTAATCTTTAATAGATTATTAGATTTTTTCTTAGATCAAATGAATCTAAATCTAATAGTATTAAAAAATAATTATGACTAATTAACTCTATATATAGGTAGTGAGAAGACAACTTTGTTATAGCTAAACCATATTTTCTATGGTTTTACCTTGATCATTTATTGGTGTGAAAGGAGGTGATTTCAAATCCAATCCGCATTACAAGTCATACCATATAATTCTTATTCCAAAATTTCGGACGTCAATGTTGACAGTGAAGACAAAGACTTTTGACTTATAAAAGTCATTAGGTACGAGGAAAAAATGTCATAATCCGAAAGACCACAAAAGTATACTAGTTGTTCGTGTGTTTAGGGGAAGATCTTTATTTTTATTTTTATTTTTATTTCCAAGTCCTCGTACCATCCCCTCTGACGAGATCAGGCCTTAGACGATCCTCCACATCCAACCGATCGTAATTTTACATCTTGAAAGAATAAAGTCCCTTAGCCCTCAATTATTAGTTGCAGCAAAGTAAATATTATATATTTTATGAATATATACTAAATGGTTTTAAAAATTAAAGAATACATTTACTGCCACATTCGTATGTGGAAAAAACATCAAGCAATAACCGAATTTAACCTATTAGACTGGAACTTAGACTCGCGCACGGGACACGGCGGCTAAGACTAGATGACAAGCGTAAATCACGGTGCACGCAAGGAAGAGAAATCAATGAAAAGACTCGAAACCAACTCAGACGTTACACTAAAGTTAACATAATAAATGATCAATTAAAAAGAAAATTATTATCCTCAGCGTACAGAATTGGCTGGTAACATTCATGCAACATCAAAGTTTATAACTATAATACAACTTTGCAATGGAAGAACGAGGATTTAATGGAAAAAATTCACTCATTTTATTGTAATGTGACAATTTCAGATTTTTTATTATCAATTTATTTAATTGGAGTGTCAAAATATAAATTTTTGGATAAATCTTATCCAAATCTGTTTATTGTAATAGTCAACATAATTGATCGTTTTTTATTTTTTTATTTTTAATTTTTAAAAAAATATTTAAAATGTTTTTATTTTATTTTTCAAGAAAGATTTTTTCTATTTAAAATTTTCACAAGTTAATCCTTTCGATTTTTCATAATCAATCAAATTGTTATTTTTATATATTTTTTTAATTTTAAAAAATAAGGTTTATGTAGTATTATTATTCATTAAAATAATCAACTTCTATAATTAATAAAATATAAATATCTATTAATTGAATTTGATCAATTGAAGTTATCAAATAATTAATTTTAAATGAAATTTTTCTTTGACATGTCAATAAATTTATTCTTATGATTGTCAATCATTAAATTTTAAATATAATTATATTCACTTAATATTTTTTTTATCTTCACATATGTTATATGATTTTTTTCCTCACAATTGATTGAAATACATAATAAGCATTTAAAATTGTTAGAAATAGAAAATCATTTTTTTTTCTTTTCTCACAGTTGATTCAGCAAACATCTAAATGATCAGGTACATAAGGTGCAGATTTTTCCTTATTATACTGGACATCAAAACATTACTGTGTCACTTCTACTCTTTGCGGATGATATGTTGTTATTCTGCAATGGAGGGAAACGAAACATTGACAGGATATTAGCTCTATTAAAGGCATATGCAGCAGCTAGTGGTCAGACTATCAATTCTCGTAAGAGCTCGTTGTTGTGTAATACTAAGTTATCCACCCACAGGAAGCTACTATTTGCGAACTAGACAGGATTTAATCCAGTCGCTGATAAGATTTTTTACCCGGGCATCCCTCTTTTCAAGGGCAGATCACGCGTAGAATTCTTTATCCGTCTAGAGCAAAAGATTCAAGAGAAACTAGCAGGATGGAAAGGCAAACTCACACTGATTCAAAGCATTCTGACCTTAATCCCCATTTACAAAATGTCGTTGTTGCAATAGCAGTAAAATGAAAACCAGGGAACACTTGTTCATCCCTGGTGAAATAGCGTAGGATCTATGGAATTTCTTAGGTAACATTATGGATATTGTGCCAGGTTCCTCCACAATAATGCATCTGACTTCAGCTTGGTTGTCTACAGGTAAATTCATTTCTCAAAAATGTTTCACTCGCAGGATAGTGTTCAACTGCATCCTTTGGGAGCTTTGGCTAGCGAGAAACAAAGCAATGTTTGAGGAAGACAATATGAATGGCACTACAATTAAACACAGGGTGGTTCAATGACTTCCAGAACTGTCTGCCTTATTTCTACCAAAGGGTAAGCCTTCCTTTCACGATGGGCTATGTCTTTGAGCATTAGGTATCTAGGTACAAGACATGCCTTAAATCAGAGGTTGATGGATCAAATGGCAGTTATCCCCTATAGGTAAACTCAAGCTAAACACTAATGGTGCGTCGAGGGGTAACCTCTGTACTGGTGGTGATATACTATGTGATGAAAGGGGTATTGGATTAAGGCATTCTCCAAATTTTTTGGTCTTGGTACAAATTCTGAAGGTGAGGACTTAGCTCTCTTAGAAGGGCTCAAGATATGTCAGATGTATAATCTGTGTTTTGACATTATAGAAGGTGATTCCTCATTAATCCTAGGAGATTTATCTCATTATTCTACTTGTCCTTAGCATCTCACATACATTTTTCAAGCATGTTGGGTGTATATTACTAATGGAATTATCATTCGACATGTTCACAGAGAAGGCAATAAGACAGAAGATAAGCTAGCAGATTGGGCCTTTCAGCACAAGTCTTGCAAGGTTTTATTCTTAGCCAATGACTTACCTACTTCCTGTCACACAGCTTTCTTAGATGATAAAATGAATTTGTACAACTATCGTCATGGTTTCAACTAAGTCTACTTATTTGCAACTCCAAATTGGATGTCTAGATAGAAATTAAATGCTTTGCTATTTAACTTAAGTTTTCAGGATTGTTCCTATAACTGAAGTTTCAAGGGTTAGGCCCTCTAGTCATCCCAATATGTTGGGCTAGATTGAATTTGTCTCCCCTTCTGGTTTTCTATGTTTCCTGCAATATACTAGTCAGGGTACCATCCCTGTTTATCAAAAAATAATTATTATCATTATTATTATTATTATTATTTTATTTTTAGTTTTTTAAAGATAAGCTCAAAAAATAAAAGCTCTTTCTAAAGAACCAAAAAAAAAAATTAGTGATAAATTTAATGATTTTTTTATAGGTAAACAAATGGGAAAAAATGTCTTTCGAAAAAAAGGATAAGCATTTTTAATATTTTTAAAAAATTAACAATCAATCTTACAATTAACTGATTTGGATAAAATTTATCCAAAATCGATATTTTGGAATTCAAATTACATAAATTGATAATAAAAACCTAAAATTGTCAAATTGCAATAAAACGAGAGCAATATTTGCCATAAAACCAAAGAATGAGTGATCTTAAATTGCAATCTAGTTACTTGCAATTACTTGACTAATCCTTTAAACAATGACAGCACATGAAAGCGAGAAAGATACAAGCATTGATGAACAGACTTTGAGGGAAAACTAGGCTTACAGAATCTTCCCTGAATAACTTGTCAGCCTCTTATTGGAGAAATGGTGTCCTGTTGTTGACCATCTCATGTGCTTCAACCAGCAAAAGATCTTACAATGCCAGTTGCTTCTATGAATGCACAGTTAATTTTAACACCTTCAGGTCTCACAAATAAAGCTCCAGTGCGACTGATGATTGAATTCTTCGATGGCTAGTTTTCCGGTTTATGCACTTGGTAACCAATTTGGAGCCGCTTTTGCTTTGATTTTACCAGCTTCCTTTGAGTAAAGTCAAATTCTCAAGGGTCTGCCACAGTCACACCTTCCTTTGAAATAATTTTTCCCTTAATTGTACAACTAATTGATCGAGAACCCCTTCATTTTTTATTAGATACTGTTCAGCTGCAAGTTCATTGCGAAATACCTCTCTGCCAATAACATAGTTGCTTCCTTCTTTCTTGATGAGACTGTGCTCACAAGCTAATTCCAAGACCTCAGATTCAGAGCAAAAGCCTCTCCCAAACTGTATCCCAAGTTCAGCTTTTGTCGTAGCAGGAGCCAATTTATTTTTCACCACTTGTGCACACACCCCAAGACCAGTTATCTATAAAACATAGCATTATTTAAGAAACAAGACAACAAAAGGAATGTGAAAAATTTTAAATCAATCAGGTGATTGTTCACTAAAAAAAGCTTAAGGATGAGGAATAATCTGACGAAAGCTCAATTAGAAAAGAAAAGAAGAATGAAATTTAACTTAAGGAACACAGATAAATCAATTAACATAAACAAGATCAAGGACAAACAAGACTGAAAGTATGGTAATTCATGCAGAATCTGAGACGATCATAGGCCAAGAACATATTATTTGTCCATGTACAAATTTTCACTTGGCTACGAAGCTTAGAAACTTCCCTGCCAGATTTTACACAAATATCAAATAAATATCCACATGTAGGTGCATATGCAAAGAACATATATCAGAGGAACCTGACCTTCAGAATTTATTCAGGTTACTTGTGAGCGGTGGCAGTAAAGAGTATACCTTGTCATCAGTCTTGAGCAGTCCAGTCCTGATCATTCTCAAACGCACAGCCGAATAGAATTTCAAGGCATTTCCACCACAAGTGACCTCTTCAGCACGTCCTGATTTTAAACTTGTTCTAACCTTGATAAAGACAACAATAACAATTGGTGAATATTATTTTGCCCATAAGTTACCGTTTGCAGCTTCCATACAAAATGTTTGAAATGTTTAACTCGAAGTCTAGAACTCAACCTGATTGAGAAAAATAATAAGAGTTCGAGATTGGCATAATGAATAATTGATCTTTCGAAGAGCTTGTGTCATTAATCGTGATTGTATATCTTCAAAGGTGCCTCCTACCATAGAATCAATCTCACGTTGGGGGACAAGCGCAGCAACCTGTAAACAAAATGCATGGAACAGCATTACGAACAATGAATGATATAAAATAGCAAAAGAAAGAAACCCTAAATCTAGCAGTGCAATTTATAAAGGTCAAGCAGCCACAACAAAAGGTTATTACAATAACTGCTGCTAACAGGGCAAGGTCTTGGACATGCAGATATGTGTGTGTGGTGTCTGCTTGAGAAATAAGCACTTACACTATCAACCACGATAACATCTACAGACCCACTTTTAGTCAGAGTATCGACTACACTGAGCAAATTTTCAGCACAATCTGGACGTGAAATGAGAAGATTTTCTGTGTTTATGCCCATTGATTCAGCAAGTGAAGGGTCCATTGCATTCTCTACATCAAGATATGCACAATATCCTGACAAAAGACAATTCAATGAGCAAAGATGATCTTCAATTTAAGATGGCCCAGTTTTCAAGACAAATAAAGAATCTTCAAATATATCTTACTGTTGCTAACTTCTGGTGTATCATAGCATATACAGAAACAATTTTTTAGCACTAAGAATTTTGCTAGCTTTTGGGGTATGATAACAATATACACAACTAATTGCTGAGTACTAAGAAGTTGGCCTCTTTTATATGTGGCCACCCTCTGTCAAAACCATGCTGAAGAAAAGTATTCTTTTCTTACTTGTCCAATTTAAGCCTAAATGAGGTGGTGGTAAGTAAACGTACAGGATCAGATCACCTAAAGCATATATATATATATATATATATATATCCCTTCTCTGCAATTTTACACACCTCTCTATCTATCCATCCATGTGTTTGGATGTGGGCGTGAGTGTGTGGTTGCATATTACATGCAGAGAGAAACTATATCTATCTATTCAAGTACTTGGTTTGGGTTTAGGTGTGGGTATGCAATTTTTTATCACTCACAGATAAACTGTAAAGTTATTTATTTTGACACAGAAGAAAATTTTCAGCAAACCATGTTGTGATTGAGAAAAATTTCGGCAAAAGTTTCAGGAAAGGAAGAAAAAAGGATTACACATTGACTGTAAAATTCAGGTAATTTGGCATAAAGTAGCATCACCTAATCTTTCTGATAAAACTAACAAGTTAATGTTAAAAAAACAATAATGTCCACAGAAGATTACAAAAACCCTCTACACCGACTCGAAGTCCTTCAGGGATAAAGTAAAATTATGAAAAATCCCCAATACAAACTTGAAACCTCTGCCCAAGTTATCAAGGGCAGCTTTTCACACACTATTTCCTTGCACGGTTGCAAGAAAAAAGAGAGTGTAATCTGGTGGTAAAAATGCTTTCAATTCCTACATAAAACCAAAATATGGAACAGTTCTATTGTTTCCTGAGCTGCTGGGAACAAAAGACAAGAATAAAGGTCACTCTACGTCTTCCTAAAGAGCCTTGCCTAAAATAGAAAATGCCCCAAATCACAAAGAAATACAGGATACAGGCTATACCTAGTGGAACAAAGGTGACAAATTTTCCTTCTCAATAACTAACAGGCAATGAGTAAGAAGTGGATGAAATGGAGAAATACAAAATGACTTGATATCAGGACCAGTTTCTTTCATAATAAGGATTAACAACTGAAATTGGCAAATGAAACCTCAAGTAATCATATCAAAGTTCCAAAACCTAAAAATATTTAGCATGGATTTTACTATCTAGAGCTCCAATTAAAATCAATCTTAGGTTCAATCTATGTTAGTTGTCTGATTTTCAAGCTGCAATAATCAATTAAAAATACAACCTGATTTCTTTGTTAAAGTTATGCATGCGTCCTTTAATAAAATGTAAAACAGAACGCATAACAAATCTAGTAGCACACACCTCCAAGCTTTTGAGCTTCCTTGATAATATGAAGTGCCAGAGTTGTCTTGCCAGAAGCTTCTCGCCCATAGATTTCAACCATTCTTCCCTGCAGAGTGCAAGGCAGATTTCTATGCAAAGTTGTCCTGAGGATTTTTCAAAATTCATGGCTAAACTAAAAAGTTCATGATCAGGTAGACATCATCAGCAATCAATTGAAATACAAATGTTAAATTTGAAGCTCCATTCTATCTTCATAACTGCAGTTTTCATCCCAACAATCACAATAGTTCAGCCCTGGTAAGCAGGCCATAACTAAGTTCCTTAGCTGTTCATCACCATGGGCCCACATAGAAGTAAAGGTCGTATATCAAAGAATAACTAACAAGTTCCAAAAACACAACAAAGGAATAGAATGCATAGACCTTTATGGCAATCCAAAGAATACAGGATCGAACAAACATGGTACACAAAAGTGCAAATTACTGCAAACCTAATTCACACTAACACAACAAAGAGCTTGTAGCCCAGTGGTAGTGGTCTCTTGCTAGAGGTCATCTCGGCAGACAAGTTTTGCTAGGAGCCTTGGGTGTGTGTGTGTTGGGTGCGTGAGTTATTAAAAAAAAAATCACACTAACACCCACATTTATAACCAAATCACCTTCGGTAATCCACCAATTCCAAGTGCAAGATCAAGCTTCAACGAGCCTGTTGATATAACAGGAGCTCTTCGTGAGCTGAAAAACCTCTGCAATGACAACATAGACTCTCTACCAAAGTCACCAGCAAGCTGTGTGAGAGCCAAACGAAGCGCATTATCTTTCTGTTTTGCTTCACCCTCATCATGGAGTTCATCAGATTCAAAATCTGAAACTTTACCAAGCAGTACAAAATCATTCTCAGATTGACTGATTAACACTCACACAACACCAACCAAATAGCGTCCACATTCTTGCATACACTTCTGCATTTTATAGAAATTGAAAATAGCAAAACAGCGACTGATTACCTACAGAAGAAAGACGGTGCCTTCCAATAATAGTTATTGCATCTCTTCTTCCATTCTGCCAAAAAATAAAAAAATTTGTCACCAACAAATATTAACATTTATGACATTATATTAAAACAGATATAATAGAGAAGCAAACGAAAAAACAACAAAAGCCCAGTTCCAAAAACACATTCAATTAGTGAAAGAAAGCAAGAATTTAACATTATTTTTAATATGTAACAAAATCATGAGCATATATGATTGAATAAACTATAGTATCTAACACATAAAGCTGCAAGGTTTAAAATCGAAAAAGGTAAAGAAAAGAGATAGGAAGAAAGGGAACCTGAGAGAGAGAAGGGAGGAGAGAGCAAAGGCAAAATCTTGTCGAGGAATTTAAACGAAGTGACTGAATTGGAAGTACCATTTTTCCCCCTTTGTCAGGGTTTTAGGGTTTATCGGTCTCTTGAATTTAGGGGTTTCAGATTTTAACCAAGCTACCGTTATTTATTTATATATATATATATATATATATATATATATATATATATATATATATATAAAGTTTTAGGAAGAAAAATAATTCTTTTGTTTTTGTTTTTTTCTGAAGAACATTCTTGTCTTAAAAAAAAAAAATATGTATGTATGCACACACATTCTTTTCTTAAATGTTTTTTTATGAAGAACATTCTTTTCTTAAGTTAAAAAAAAAAAAAACAAAAAAAAACAAAAAACAAAAAACGAAAAAACAATACTTATGTATGTATGCACACACATTCTTTTCTTAAATAAAAAAACAAAAACAAAAGAATTATTTTTCTTCCTAAAACCTTATTTTATACACACACTCTCTTTACACATAAATATATACACACTCTGAATGCACGTGAAAAACTAGTTCTAATTGTACTCTTGGTTGTTGCTTTCTAATCTTCAAAAAATTAAGAGTTATTTAATATGTAGAATTTTAATCTTTATCCATAAAACATTCATCCTTGTCCAATAAAATTCATATTTATCATTTTATCAAAATATCTTTCAAGCTTTTAATTAAGTCCATTGACCCAAAACTATTTTGGCACAATTAATTAATTTAGACTATACAAATAAACTAAGTTAGATCATTTTAGAAGGCCCAAATTAGAAAATAATTTTTTAAATTACCCTTAAACCTAAATTAGGAAACTATTTGTCATTTTAAATTATTTACTTCCAAATTTGAAACTAACTTCCAAAATAGGAAACCGATTTCTAAAATAAAAAACTTTCCATTTTAAGAAACTTCCATCTTAAGAAACTTTTCATTTTCGAAAACTTTTTTCCAAAATAGAAAACTTTTAAAATTGAAATTTTTTTCTAATATCTTTGCTTCTCTTTAATCATGTGAATGCTTAAATTTATGCATGTGACTCAATATGCTCCTAAATATTTTGGTAATGCATCAAGAATAAAAGACATTCTTTTATTTCTTGATACATAAATCAAGATTGGCCTCTAGCAAAGCATCATGATCGCCTAATTCTCTAATTCTCTAGTAGGATTAATTAATCCGTAATTACCTTTCATAAGTATGTTTATCATACAATTCAATTCTCGTGTCAATTTATCACAATATAATCTCAAACTTGGTAATTAGTCTTATTCGATTATGATCACATAAGTTTTCTTCGATTTTCAAATGTAAAACTCTTATAGTAAATCAACTACACTCTATTGACGTAATCCTATTATGGCCACAAATTTCTTGAGTAGATATTTATCAAAATGCAATATGATAACTTCTTTAGCATACAAGGAATAACATGTCATATCTTGGTCATTCACTTACCTCTACTACATTCCTAGTATACCCAACAAATCGCTCACATGCAACCCTTTATTGAATCCATCGAAACGAGTTTCAAAATACATAAATCCTCTAATGAGATAACCGTAATGAATTCAAGTCTAACGACCAACTCGTACCGATCTCGTATGAGATTCTCATAAACTATATCAAGTGGGTTCTCACGACGAGTTAAGTCGAGTGACATGTTCTCTTATATAAGTCACCTAAGTACTTGCTTTGGCATTATCATATCAATAGGTGTGAAATCTTCTATCGTTATCTTATATCATAAACATAGCACTCATAAGTCTTACCGCATACAATCAATGTTCATTCTTGATCATGTTACTACTTATGACATTTAACGATATCATTTATGTACATTAGCATTTATCTCACATCTTTCGATCGACACTAATGCAAATACATATCATATGGACTTCTACCTAATTTTATTCGGTGAATAAATATAAATGATAATAATCAATAGAAAGACTTCTTTTATTATAAATAATACAATAATATAATAAGTCAAACTCATTTAAATAAGGTTTGATCTTAGGCACCTACATTAACATCGACAACTTTTACATCATCACTACCACTGCCAACTCTCCTATGAATCACATCGTGAACACAAATCACACTATTTGGCGTCGGAGAATGCATGCATCAAAAGAATGGGTCATCCTATCATTTTCATCATGCAACTTGCCACAATCTTGTCTATATAAGAATCCTTATCACCAAGGGTTCCAAGTTTCTAACTCTCTACAATAAATAAATTTTATTGTTCATTTTTTTTTTAACAAAATAAACATAAAGACACATTTTCTAAAACCTAATCGAGCCATTTTCGTCCTCTATCATCTCTAATTTAATCGTTGTAGAGTCCTCAATCCATTAAAAAAACTTATTTTATAAGTACATGTATCATAGAAGAGGAGTAAGAAACACAATTAATCTTCACCGTAACCTCCCAATTATAGATTGCACATCATTATATTTTTTTTTTCCAAAGAGTTTTCAAAACTCACCAATGGGTAAATAATTTTGAAAAAAAACCATGTAAGGGTGAGCATTCGGTTAAACGGTTCGGTTTTGTACGATTCGGTTTGATTTTTGGTTAACCGAATTAAGAAAAATCAAAATCAAAATTGAACCGAGATAAATTCGGTAAATTCGATTTGTAACCGAATTATTTCGGTTAGGTTTCGAAATATTTCGGTTTTAACCGAAATATTTTGTTGTAAAAAAAGAAAAATCATTACAGAGAGTGTTTTGTACTAGCACTTAGTCCACTAGTCAATGAAGTAACATCTTGTTATCAATCAATCCTTTTTATAGACAATCACAAAGCCCTTGAAGATTTTAATTAAGCTTTAATAAAAACCGAGTCCAAGTGTAATTGATTTTGTCATTCAAACACACCGTATCCCACTTAATTACACTCTGTCATTTTCTTTTCTTACCCCAACGGTCCTCAAAATTTACTTCTTATCTCGCTTGTTTCGGTTTCGAGCAAGAATGAAGATTGAAAAGTTAGGGATTTAGAAATTAAAAATTTTTTTACTATTTATTTCGGTTTTCGATCGAAACCGAAATTTTTTTTCTAAAAATCAAACCGAACCGAAATAATTTTGGTTTTTTCGATTCGATTTTATATTGTATAATGTTACATTTAAAATCGAACCAAATTTCATAATTCGGTTCGATTTTATTCGATTTTCGATTAATCGAATCGTTTGCTCACCCCTAGAATCATGTCTTTGAAATTTTGTTTTGTGATGTGATGGTGTAATTTTCTAGGATAAGAGGGGGGGGGGGGAGATGGTGCTTAACCTAGCTCTTTGTACAATTGTCGAGAGAAGTCTTATAGATGAAAAATATTAAATATTCAACATGCATATATGGCTGCGCAAGTAAACAGGTTAAGTCATGCAGTACTGCCGTTTTGTACCAATACCAGATAGATTTTGTTGTACCTTGAGTACTTCTTCTATACCTACTTTGTATACTTTTCTCATACATGATACATCAATGGCTTAATGTTTCCTTCTTCTAGTTGTACACTCTTTATTTCATGTTTTAAAAGATACTTTTATTACTACTATTTTTTATATTAATCTTTTACGCTAAGTTTTTGTTATTGTTACACTCTTTGGTCAATTAGTGACACTAACGTTATTAATTAAATTCAATAATAATTTACTCCACAGCATGTTAATATGTATTAAAAAACTTGGAAAATAAATTTTGCGTTAAAGTAACAGTTTAGTTTCTCATCTTATTGATTAAAAAACCTTGAAACCTTTTTTTTTTTTAACTGATCAAATTTTATTTGCTTAGATTAATCAATCGGTCATAGAAGCCACCATTTTTATATTGAGACTACCATTCCAAATTCTTTCAATCTTAAACTGTATATGCAGATATTCAAGATGAAATTAAAGAAATGAATTTTCTTTTTAATATATAGTCAAATTAATAAAATTCCTTTTACCTTTAATGAGTTGTAATTGTATATAATATTAAACTTTTTTTTCATATATATATTAAGCACAAAAGGCAACGAAATCTTCAACCAAGATCGATGAAGGAGCTGATGATCTGAACCATGATTCAAAGTATGATAAAGATGCTGACCCATTAAGCATTCAAGAAGGTCCAATTACAGGAGTTAAAGCTGAGAAGATAAGGGAAGCTTTGAATAGGCTTATTGAAGAAACATGGGCTGTCCAAGACTCCAATGGGCCGACCAACAAAGAGTTGGGCCTTGTGAACATCATTCAAATTTTTGGGCCGAAACTAACGAGTCCACAGCCAGAATTTATGGGTGATTGATTCTTGGGATGAGACTTAATGGTTGGGGGATGAAACTTTGGTCCAAAATTATGGTTTTAGTTTTCGAAGTCAAATTTACAAAAATTAAGGAGACTAAATTTAAGTCTAATTTAATACTTTGGGAATTCTATGCTGAATCTTTAATTCTTCAGCATGTTTCGGATTTCAGCAGCCTTTAGTTAAGGTTTATTCTTGTATTTAGAAAGCATTAATTTTTATCAATCAATACACATTGTTATGAGATTTCTCCTTCATATAGACTTATCGTTCTCAATTCATTTTTTTTCTTCTTGAAGTGTGGTCTCTAATACTCTTTTTGTTGGTTAACTTGATTTAGCTTTCTTCGAATTCGCGGGTTCTCTAACTTCGACCAGACGGATTTACATAAGAGATCTCATTCTTCCCATTATTGAAAAATAGGAAAAAAGTTATTTTCAACATGGCAGAGTACTTTTTTTTTTTTTTTTTTAACAACAATATGTATTGTGCTTGATTTGATTGTAGAAAACGATGGAGACTACGTTTATGATAAGCTAGAGAAAACTCGAGAGAGGTACCAATGATCAATATTGCTTTGTCATCATTTGTATGGATTAATCAAAGAGTATTCAGTCAACGAACAAACGAATATTCATTTCAGCAAATTTGTTACAGCTATCTGAGCCACGACTTCTGCTGTATTTTTGTTCGGCATGTCCAGTCTAGATATTCTTAAGTCAACTTGACCTCTGATATACCTGAGAATTTTCTAATCTATAATGCCAAATATGTCAGAATAGGTAAGATCACTAATCTTTTCCCAAGAACAGAAACATCATGAATGAGAAGTTGGTAGACCTTGCCATTGCATGCTTTTAATTAATAATTTGTAGTTAAGAATTTCTTTCAATGGTTTTATTAAGATGGAATACCTCTGTATAATATATAAACGCACATATAATGTTCAAGGATAAGAAGTGCAATATTAAGATTATTTATGAGATGGAAAAAGAACTTGATATTTACTTAAATAATTTTTATATAGATGGTAATGAAAGTCGGTTTTATTCATCCAATTTTGAAAGGTTACTATAATCTCTCTTTTACTTTCTTTTCTTTTTGTGTTAAGTGTAGCTAAATTATACACTGATAAGTTATATTTAATAGTATTATTGCAAAAATATGAGAGGCGGATTTGAGTTAAAATCTCCTACACTCACATTTATCAAGCTTGCTTATCAAAATTTATAACTTGAGCATAAATAGTGGCGAAGCTAGAAATATTTTCTAGGTAGGCATCAATAAGAAATAAAAAAAAATTATGAGAGCAATTAATATATTTTTATTGGAAAAATCGAAAGTTTTAGGACTAAAGTAGGAAGTGTGAAAAAATAGGGGAGGAAATATTGCCCCTTTGCTAACACCTAGATTAGACCCATAGCTCAAATAATGCTCCATGTACGTGTGTATTTTCAATGCTTGTATGAACTTATCCTGTCAATATCTTCTCAAATTCACATGATTTCTCAAATAATTATTACTAGAGTTTTTTTTTTAATTTGACTTTAATTTTTTAGGAGATGGTTTTATTTTCGATGCTTGTATGTTTAGATATATTTTAATAGCTAACTTAATGTGTATGTATATACCATGATACTTATTTTTCATGAACTTTTTGACGAGGAGACATATTCTAGTATAGTCCAATAAAAAGGGTCCATAAGGCGCAATTCAAGTTCATAACTTATTAAGGAAAACCAATCTATTAATCGAGCCCAAAGTCCCCTAAAGGATAAGCTGTTCTTTATAAGACGAGACGACTTCTAGGAAGAGTTTAAGAATCCTCATGCCCTAAGATGCCTCGGCTCAAAAAAGAAAAAGATATTACACTCTTTCACTATCACAAAGCATTTAATGAAAAATCTCTAAAGATGACGTCAATCACATCACTACTAGTCAAGATTACATTAATGCTGTCATAGATCAAACGCAATAATAGTAAAGCACCAATACTTATCAACTCTTCCACTAACTTTAAAAAAAAAGGACATTCCTTTTCATTTTACCATAAAAGTTGCACTCACAACTATCTATATAAAAGCGTAAACCACCACAATGAAAATAATTTCAATTCCAATTCTAAGATTTTAACTCCAACCAAATAGGTTTTGGAAACTATTCTCTATACAAGTTTCGTATCATGTACGATTCTTTCTCTTTTATTCATCACATACAAATAATTAAATACTAGCACAATTTTCGAGCCAATTCATCACCTTCTAATTTGAGTGTCATAGGATCCTTCATTCAACTAAAGGGACTTGTTTTGTAAATACACTACGCAAAAAAGAATTTTCTTCATACTCCACGATTATAAGACTATCATCACCATCATTTGTGTGTGCTACATTCTTTAAATTTTATTAGACAAGTTGATCCATGACTCATTAGTTGGCACTCGTTAATGGAAAACCGAGCAAATACATAGTTTTTTCATATCTTTATTTTCGTTCTCTAAAGTGTCTCTCGGTTCACGTATGGCAAACGGATAGAAGTTCTTGATCGCACCATCCCTCTAGACTTTGCTAGTCCCAACACTCGGCATGTGGATATTGTATAGTTGCAACAACGTGTTTAAAATCCTACAAAGGCATTTCTAGCGGTTCAAGAACAAATCAAAGTGTTTACCTCCTTGCTTTAAACACCTCTATGTCCTTTAGCTCCAAATACTTCAATGCCACTATGCATTACACCTTGTGTAAAAATGAGATTTATCCTCTCCCTTTATAGATCGACGAGGTTCTAACGAGTGAGTATTATTGATTATATCTATTCTCTTATATTTA